TTTTTTCAAAATTTTTGAATGAAATTTGCAATTATCTGGGCATTTTTTAAATTTTTGTTTCAAATACAGGGGGTGGTTTACCCCCTAAAAATGATCGAACCAAGTCAAAAATTTTTCATTTTTCATATCTCTTGATAATGCAACTATTTTATTTGGTTCGGGCCGAAAATACTGAATCCTTATATACAAAACAATTAAATCGATACCCATAAATTCAAAGGGGTGTTTCACACCTTAAATATGGTTTTCCGCAGATAAAAAAAAATACGTATGTCTTATTTTTACGTCTACTAAAACATATTAAAACATTATCCAAATCGGCGATTTACACTTGGGTAGTGTTACTTGTAAGTGATTCCTGTGATTCTTCTGCAAATTAAAACATAATTAATTATTTCACAAAAGAAATATGTATCATATTGTACTTGCACAAGATATCATACCAGTAGCCAAATGACGTAAGGTGACAGAGAGCCTCTTTGCAGGGGGTATACTTTCCCTTAAATGTGTTGTCTTCTTTTCAATAAAAGGTGCAATTTTTTCAAGAAGATATTGAAAGACATCAATGTTCATTCGCAGACATCTGTAAATATGATTCAAGTTATTATTGTTTTTAAGTTAAACTAATCTTTGTGTTTATTTTTTTAAGATTATTTAATATATTTGTATATATTTTAATTAATTACACAATAAACTCTTACCTACGAAATCGATTTGGATCTTCAAGCGCAAGTTCCAGAAATAGGTTATGATGCATACCACGATGCTTTCTTCGTAACAAATACGGCTTGGTCCACACAGAACGACTATATACTTTTTTATTAGCTAATGCAAAAAGCAACAGACACGCAGATGCAATTCTGCGTTTTCGCTCCAAGATAATTAGTTCACTAATTTGTGACATTGTTAGGTTAGTTTTCAACACTCAATCGTAGTAATCTTAACCGCAACCGAGCCCGCAACCCGTATAACCTGCAACCTAACCGGCGAACTGCTTCGTTCTGATTGGTTGATTTCCAACACTCAACCGTAACCTCAACCGCAACCGAGCCTGCAACCCGTAGTGTGATTCGGCCTTAAGATTGGGCCGAAGTATCCGCAGGTAGTACAATATTTCGAAAATATCTTCCGAATGACACATATGATTATATCCTCAATCATTGTTTATGTCACTAGGAATTTAAGATACACTGATGTCGCACAGTCTACCAAGCTGAAAACTAAATTGGACAACGCTGTTACATGTCCACCAGCGGAGCCTTGGGAGGGTTTCCCACTTCCGGCTGGAGTGGGAAACCAAGGGACATAAGTTACGAATTCGTAATAAGATTTTTCATAAAATAAGTTACATAGATTCGTGAATTTTTTTTATATACTCTTTATATAATAATGCAGTACGCTAAAAAGCCCGATTTTGCATTTTTGCTTTTAAAAATTTATAATAAATAAAATACGGAGTTAAAGTGCAGTTTAAACTGCACTAGTGCATAAAGTGCATCTGAGTGCACCTGAGTTTGCCTGGGTCTCCTGCCGACCCTTAAATTATGACGAAAAATTTAATAGCACTTGAATTAAGGACTTTCCAATATTCAATGTCAATGATTTCGTTTACACGTCACTCTTAATCAGGTTTAATAACATCTGTAATTATGAAACTGGCCAATCATAGTTATTCTATTCTTTAGAGGAATAGCTATGATTGGCCAGTTTAATAACTACGGATGTTATTAAATCTGATTAAGGGTCTCTTTCACCAATCTCGGTTAAGGCTAACCGAGAGGATAGACCATTGGAATTGACAAATTGCATTACCTGTTGTGTGACATAACAAATGCGATTGGTTAATTCCAATGAATTAACCGATCGGTTAGATTGATGAGAGGCCCTAAGAATGACGTGTAAACAGTCAATACCGAAAATCTACAGCTTACGTTACGGATATTATAAACTTTTAGTACAGGGAGTAAATATCAGAATACATTTTTTAATAAAAGTATTAAATTTAATATAAATTTTATAATTAAATATAATTTATAAATAAAATTTAAATTTTTTGATTATACATTATAAGGAACATAGGAACATCAAAACAGTTTTAACGTCTTTGGTAAATTAGAATAAAATACAATAAAATTATAA